CCTGAGCCGAAGGCAGCTGCTTAACCAACTGAGCCACCCAGGCGCCCCTTTAATTTTTATTTTTTAAGGTGCTTTGAGATTATGAGATTTTAGAAAAATTAATGTTGAATAAATCATTATTTTTTCTAGTATTTGGAAATGTGATAAAAATAAATATAAGATGACCTGACATGGAAAGTATCAAAACCAGTTTTGCTAAAAATATTATATGGAAGAAATAATATCAGTTCCCCATTCTCAATTTTTTTTAACTCATTTATGTTTCCTACCATTTGATAGATTTCATTTCCTTCCCATAGCAGATATTCCTATGATGCTAGACCACAATATAGTTTTTACAAATAGCAAACATTTGTTCTTCTTACAGTTCCCGCTGGAAGCGGATTACTCCTCAAGCTACCAAGCAAATCAAATGCTCTTTGATTTCAGAGAATTTACAATGGAGGACATTGTGTCAATTATCTATTGCCACAGTGAAGCTGCACAACAACCAACACACCTATTTAAGCTCAGCTGATCTGGGCAGGCTTGTCTGATCTTGGTAGGTAGCTTTGCTGATCTTGGCTGGGCTTGCTCACATGTGTGGGGGCCAGCCTAGGATGGCCTCGGTTGGAATGTTGAGGATGACTTGATTTGGCTCTATGTGTTTTTCATCTCCAGTGGGCTAGTTGGGGCATATTCACCAGTTCAAGCACCTTTTCAGCCTCTGCTTGTGTCATACTTGTTAATATCATATTAACCAAAATAAGCCACAAGGCCGATCCCAGAATCAGAGTGGGAGCGGACACAAGGGGGAGGGTATAGAGGAGTAGAGAATTGGGATCATTTTTGTATTATACCACACATGCTTAATTTTTTTCCAGTTTCTCAGCTAATAATTCATTCAATGGAGTCATATCCCCATGGCCCACATTAATTATATCACCTACTTTGGCTTGGCTTAATGCTAGGGAAAAGAAGCCAGCATTTGTTTTATAAAAACAACAGCAACAACAACAAAGCAACCCTTGCTTTTGATAAAACACCAATAAATTAATGTATGATTTTTTATTAAATATTGTAAGTCAACTATTAATTCATGCCTGAAAAGAAAAGAACCAGCACATCAGAGATCCCCTTGAGAAGGCTCCCAGACCACGAGTATTGTCCCTGACACACTTTTTTTTTTTAAATTTTTACCT